TTTTAGTTTATCATTACACTCATTTATCTTCTCCGCCTTTTTTTAGTCGCAGCCCACGTGTGGCATCTCCTCCTTCGTCCAGCCTCGCGCTGGGTCGTGACAAATGGTGGTGGACCACACAAGCGTGTAATAGATCTCCCTTCATTCGCAACCAAAACGGGTTTCAAATATAAAAGCTCGGACTAATAAAACACGCAAGCTGAATTATGTAGGAGACCTTTTAAAACCAAACTCATGGTTTATTGTGGATGGATTGATTTATTTTTCCTTGTTCCTCTACTCTTTTATATGACTTGCCCAAACGAGCAGCCAAACCCCCACCGCAGTGGCGCCTGCCCGAGTCCGCGTGGTCCACATGCAGGCCGTGCAGACTCAACCATGACGCGGCGGTCCACGCTGGCCCCATTCGAGGGCGTCTCAGGGGCTGAAAGTCCATGTCGGCAAAAACGTGAATCTGTTGTGTTCATCGGGTCACTTGGCGCTGCCAAGTTTTTTCTTCATTTCACTCAATGAAATTGAGGGGGGCCAGCGTGGGGGGGGGGGGGGGACCCTAAAAACCGTGTGTGTCGCCCACACAATGGCCGGTGGCTTGTAAAAGGAGGCGGCCGGCCCCCACAAATGATGACCCTGACCCTAAGCTGTTTCTCTTACAATTCTCTCACAATTTCTGCATCCTGCAAGCGGAGAATGTGGAGCGCCTGTGAACCAACGCCGCGGCCATGGGACGGCCATGTTGTGTGCGATGCTGTGTGTACGTCGGGGGCACTGCTTTGCGATCGACAAATGAACATTTCAAACTCAGCGGGCCGTTGGCACAGCGGCGCGACGAGGCGCGGTGAGCGAGAGAGGCGAGAGCGTGAAGAGCGGGTCTTGTCAAAGCACACGGGCACAAAGTTGGCTTCCGCAATTACAGCCACCACTACAAACGTCCGCCAGGGCGGAGCCGGGGGGGGAACGAGACGCGGTTAATTAATCCCGTAGACGGCAGGCGACGACGATGTACGTTTCGGGTCTCTTCCACAGAGGCGCGACAACAAAGAAAAGAAATAGATTCTTCTCCTTCTAAATGCTCTCCACCGTTTTATAGGCGTGTTTGTTATGTGGGCGAACCTTTGCAGTTATGTGTGAGGGGCCTCTTTACATTGTTGTAACAGTGTAATTTAGCCGGTTAAGACACAACACACTTCACAGCAGCGCATTCATGACACTTTAAAACCCTCGTTTAATTAACGTCTACATCAAACCCAGTAGGATGAGTCAAAGTGTAATTTGTGTTTGCCCCCCCCCCCCCCCCCAAGGAGAAGAAAGCATGTAGACTCTCACCATCTCCTTAGTTTGATAACTTTTCACTTTGGGAAACTCTCTGACTTCTTGCTCACTGGTTCTCATTCACTCTTTACAACGTCACTGACACATCGAAACTTTGATCAAAGTCCAATAACGTTATCAAAACTGATAAAATGAAAAAAGATTCCAAAGATAATTATTCCTATTTCATTCACCATCGGTAACACTGTCAGTGAACGGGAACAAAGATTGTTGGTACATCGCGTGTCGATAAACGCTGCTGAACCAACGAGGGTGTTGTAGTGCAGCACAAACAATACTCGGCTCCCAAGTTCCTCAGAATTCATAAAACAATACCGCTGATGTTTAGAAGGACAAAGTCTGCTACGAGGAAAAAAAGGATTCAAGCAATTGATCTATTTATAAATGCATGCAAATCCACCCCCTCACTGGGGGGGGATGTGTTGGTTGAATTGTCTAATGTAATGCTACATGGCACAGGGTCCCATTTGGAGGAGAAGGGGGGGATATATTATGATCTAGACAATGAAAATCTGACGATTTCTCAGAAGACTTTCTGGGCTGTCGGAAGATGTTCTGCAAAGTCGGGTCCAGTTCTGTGCGGCCAAAGCGGGAGGAGGGTCACTGGATGACTGAGAACACCACAGTTTGCCACACGAGTTATAAACCCGACTCGCTGATGCCGTCTTACAAAAGCACGCTGCCTCTGCGAGTGAGTGACAGTTCACGTTTGGGCCGTTGCTCCCTGCGCCTCGACTAACACCCCGGGGATGGATTAATGCCTGGCGTCAATACTTTTTGGCCGGCGTATATGTGGGCGAGGAAATCTGTGCGGGCAAATCCTTTTTTTCCGACGGCACATGTGGACGAGCTGCGTCTGTGAGCGTGAGCAGACAGGTGAGGCCCGCGTGTGTTTTCCTTTTCTGATGACAGACATTACTCTGTCATTATTCCAGGTGTATATCTTCCCGTCCGACATATATTTGTACTCCCCTCGTAGACTTAACACTCCGCTCTCTTAACGCTGCAAAGTTTCACCCGCAGTGTGTTTCAGGAGGTTCACACATTGTGGAATGGAAAGTGTGGTGCATCACCTCACCACCTCACCAGCGTCCCTCTGACGGAGGCGGCAGCGAGGGCCCATTTTATTGCTTTAAAGGTCACAACGCGCTCCGACGTCGTTTGATTGGAAACACTCATTATTGATGGTTTTACATGCAGTACCAGTCATGAGTTTGGGTACACGTTTTTAAATTAAATGAGAAAATGTGTCTACACGTTTTGACTCGTACTGTATGTTCAAAGTACCGATATTGTGACAAAAAAAGAGTCAGTTTGCAGGTTGGCCCCTTTCTGCGCTCAATTCTAAGACCTCTTTTTACTACAAATCTCCGTTTGACCAGGAGATGCTCAGGGATCCACGATCGATCTGTGCTTTTTGTTTCGCTGCCTTTGACTCCCCCCCTCCCTTCTCGCTCCTCTACAATCTTAAGTCGTTAAATTGGAACCACGGAACCAACTTCATTCTGTAATTCATCTCCATCACAACTCTGGAGAGCTGCTGTATGTTTTGACGTGTTTGGGAAATCGTTGAAAGAGTCATACAAGGCTTTAGGGAATTGCAAGGTTTGAATGTGTAATTGAACTTGCGGAAAGTAAAACCATATGTATTTGTAAAGAAATAAATACATTTAAAAAACACAACAAAGGCCCCGAGTGCTCTTTCTTTTGGCGTCCAGATGTTTACGCTCACACGTTCTGCCATGCTAAGAAGTGTTTTATTCACCATAGATTTGCAAAAACTTCCTGCCTGCAACCCTCAAGGTCAACGGCCGACTTCAACCACCTGGCCAGAGATCTGCAAAGCAAGGCAGAACATGGACACAACCACGCAGCAAGTTGCAGATGTACCAACACATTTCTTTGTGTTCAACCTTTTTTAATTTCTGTGAACTCCATTGATCTGAACACCTACGTTACAGCGAGATTAAGTAGCCCAGAAACAAAGTTCTGCTTCAAACTGTTGTGCCGAGAAAACTGGATGGCTCAGATGAGTCTAATGGGTGTTTCTTCAACAAATGGAAGACAATAACTATATAATGAGGATTTAATGAGGTTCTCTCTGGCTTTAATTTCCAGCCCGACAAGAGAGAAAGGCTCTGATCAATCAGCAATCTCGTATTTTATGTGAGAACGTTCTGTCTGAAAGTCCTCAAACGAGACGTAACCACCACTGGTCCAGCCTGAGATGAAACCCCATGTTTCTGGTTAGAAGGCAGTTTAAGGGAGCAAAGGGAAGACTTGTAAAGGAGCAGTTACAGAGTTTTGAGATTAGTGTGGTGTAGGTATAAAGCCACGCTAAATACGGGGCTCAGGCCATAATTTCAACCATTTATCTGACCAAGTAACCATTATAGAGCACAGCGGTCACTGCAGAGAGGCGCGTGCACTCATGATGTAAATATCTCAGATCGAGGCTCTTCATGTGACGCAACCGGACCAAACACTTAACGCCTTTTCAGAAAACCCGGCCACAAACACATGGTAACAGGGGTTGCCCGGGGTGAACCTGCGACGAAGGCGGAAGGTTGAGATGCTCCGACGTGATCACACCGCACAAACAGCTGCAGCTTGTTCCGATGACATCCGACCAGGCTGCAGTCACGGGCTTTTTATTTTTCTCCGTCTGTCAGTGCTGCTGCTCGTCTGACGTCAGGGCCTCTTGACCGCTCGTGTCGTAGTGGCTCTCTTCTGTGACTCGGTCACATTTTCCCCATGACGGTCGGTCATTTTTAACAAGGAACGCTGCTGACTGACCAAATAAAGTCACGGGCACCATTTTGGAGATGGTCGAACTTGGCACCTCGCAATCGAGACGTGGCCTTAACATTGTGCTGCTTGTTTATTGCGCTAAAGGCAACTTTTACTGCGCAGACGGCTGCCACTGTTCAGGGTATGTTGGTGGTTGTGGAAATGATCTGGCTGATCTGATCCGTTCGACAGCCACTCAGCCCTCTTTGTGAACCTCGCAAAAAGTCGCAGGGGGGGTTCGGGCCTCTGTGGGTGTGTGAGTTCCCCGGTTTGGGGTTGATTGGAATAATAGAGATATAGTTAAAAATGGGAAAGGCAGACAGATAATAAAACATGGAATACATACACGCGTATGTTCACAAATAAATGCACAATCTTAGTATGTCTTCACTAATTGGTCAGCAATGTCCAACAGATCATCGGCCCAGCTCTAATATGTGTGGGGGGGGGGGGTTCAGAATGATTTACGTGGAGCCCACCTGTTGTCACCACATGTCACCATGAGGTCCAGCTTGGAGAATCACAAGTAGACCAAACTGCGCATGTGAAGCTGGTTTGCGCAGGAGCAGCTGGGACTCTGCGCTCTGCAAACAGTGAAAAGAAGCAAACGAAAGCGTTCGGGACGCAACAATTGTAGGCGTGAAAACTTTCGCCCCGCAACTTTCCCTCCGCACCCGCGGGCAATAACAGGGCCGCCTGCGGCGCGCGGCCCCCTCTGATTTGCCCGGGTCTCCTGTCCGCAAAGGGAGTGACAGAGGGGAGGAGAGGAGGAGGCTGGGGATGGGGAGGAGGGAGGGTAACTTTTCCTTTTTTTTTGTTGCTCTCTCTCTCTCTCTCTCTCCCTGTGTGTGTGTGTGTTGCCCCGTTGGACTTGAAGGGGGCCCCTACGCGACGACCCGGAGGGAGGACGCCACTTGTGAACGGAGGCGCGGCGGTGCAGGACGGGTCCACAGACGCAGCGAGGAGAGACGGGCGCACATCCGCCGACCAGCTGGAGGAACGCACGCCACACAAACAAACCTTATGGCTGAGACATAACGACACAATCCCCCCCCCCCAACCCCCTCCCCTTTTTTCTCTGGGACCTTTTTTTGGGGGTCTTTTTTTGTTGTTTTCTCCCCAGTATTCGTCCTGACCGGACGCCGCTGCGAGTCGAATTAGTTGCCCCAAAGTTTGAGAGAAGCTGAGTCCACTGGCCGTGGACGTGTACGGCGGTCATGGATACCCGTATAAGATGGAAAGTTAAGCGGAGGATAAGGGACGCGCAAATCACTCTTGCGGTGATTCTGCTTTTTGTCGCATCGCAAGCAAGTTCAGGTAAGATGCAGCTGTGGGATCTGCGGGTGCGCTCTGGAACTGCGCTATTTTTTTTTTTTAGGGTGGGTGGTGTTGGAGGGGTCCCTCTTCTTCGCGGATCACTGTGATGCCCGCCCCTCCTCCCAAACTCATCTTTGTGCCCTTTTAATATATTCATCTTGGTCGGTTTTGAAAAACTATGGGGACTTTGTCAGTGTATGAAAAGGCTGAAGAAAGTTTCCCTTTGCGACACGTATTGTGTCTGAGGAACTGATGCTCTGCAGCAGTGAAGTTGTGCAGAAGGTTTTTGCAACAACAACAACAAAAAAGCCCAGGTTTACATGCATAAGATGGTGAAAGGGTTAACTGCACAGTATGTCCCTCAATTCCAAAGACAACGTTTTTTTCAGATGTCCCTTGAACAAGAAGATCCGATTTCTCTTTTACAGACTTATTACTAAGCTGCAACTTTTCTGAAAAGCAGACCAACAGAGTTTCAAAAGGGCTCAATCTCTGTCTCTTTCTGAGCTCCTGAGAGGTACGAGCGTGCTTTCCGTAAGCGGGGAGGGGCTGCAGCCCATCCGAAGTGGCAGGGTGGAGCCGCCTTGGAGACTTTGACATCAGAACCACAGGGCCCTGCACTCCTCCTCCTCATACTCCTCCTCGTCCTCCCGGGCGACTTAGACGTGGCCCAGAAGTGAGGCGATACGACAGTGTCAGTCGAGCCCGGTGTGTTTCGTGAGGCTGTGTTATCATTAGACCCTTCAGCGTGGAGCTGTTGTGTCCCTCGGGGAGGGGGGGGTCCAGAGGTCACGCAGTGCCGTGCTAGAGGGGCCCGGGCCCTGGCCTGCGTGTATTATTAGCACCTAAAGGCTGCCTGGCGTGGTTGGTGGTCTGCTGTCTGACACGGGGGGCTTCGAGGGGGGAACAGGTGGGCCGCTTCGGGACGGTTAGAAAGCGTCTGAGATTGGGCCGACGGGCGGCGAACGTGATGTCGCGCTCGACCGCGCCAGAGGCTCAATTTGAGACCGCTTCAGGGGACGCCGTCGGAAGTGATTGTTCAAATGATTCTAATGAAGAGCAGATGCAGCTGGAGTGGCTTTACGAGCCCACGTGGGCTGTCCTGTAGAACATATAAAGGATTTACTGCGGCCGGTTTATTTCCATGTTGCCTATAAATAATGATTGTTAGCTGAGCACAACTTAGGTCACTTTATAACAGTTGGATCCATATCTCGGCCCTTTTTAATGACAGAGGAAGAGTTGGACTGTGGTTTTCGTTGGGAAATGATAGAAATTGGGGCTGAATTGATTTTGATGCTGTGCGCTGGACTTAATAAGCTCATAATTCTGACTTATTGTCCTACCATGCAATTAGTAAATGTTCTCCAACTTGAATATATTCATCTTCTCTTTTAAGTCCAGTATGAACATTAACCAGTTCTGCAATGAAATCTGAAAAACACAATATCATTTCAGATCGTATTTTGTAAAATAAGGAGGTAATTTAGCAAAATAGCCAAACGTGAGCTTCCCCAGATTTGATAGTTCATGGAGCTTTTTTCACCACCTGGTGGCAGCAGATCAGACTGAACACTTAAGCTGTTCAATGTGTCACCAAACCTTTTTACACCAACACTCCACACAAAGACAAACAAATCAATAAAAACCTCCACTTTGCACTAACCAGCTAGCGAGTTGCTAATTTAGCACGCGGCCAACAAGCCGCGGATGTTTTACCTGAGCTTTTTCATGGAATTAAGCTGCCTTCTGATTATATTAGCGTAGACATATCAGTTCAGCTGTAGCTCCAGGTTGTAAGGGTGTAATTAAATTACATATAAATCTGCAGTCCGCCGTAGTTTAGCTCATTAGTGTTGCTGTACATTCTCTTTTTTGCACACTGGCGAATCGTTTGAAGTTAACAGCGACCTTCGCTTGAGGATGAGTGAAGTAATGATCCCCCGTCTTTAGGGAGTCCATCTCTCCTCTGCATTAATCAGGAGACCTCACTTTCAACCGAGGCGACGAGTGGTATTAACAGAAGGTCCTGTTACACATCGAGGTCAGGAATGAGAAGAGGGGTCAGAGTTCGAAGGTGAAGGTCAAGACTTGGGGATTGCGGCTGCTGTCAGGTTTACAGTTTCATTGCCTGAAGAAAGGAATTCTTGCTGTTGAAGATGCGCAGATCCTTGTTCTAGTAGGTTCTCCTTCTAAATCTTGGATCCTGTCAGTTGCTGTGTCGTAACCATCATGTTTTCCATCTCCATGGACTAGACAATCCCATTAGCATCTTCAGCCTGAGATGCAATTTAAACAGAAACAGGTGCTTTGTCTTGCTTGTTTAAGCGAGTTGATGTCTCCAGATGCTCGACTGAATAACATCCACTCAAGGGTAATAGATACCATGGCCTCCCAGTGTGGGACCTCAGATGTTTTGGAGTTTAATGATCGGACATACCTGCTGTGGACCAGATCTACCTTCTTTGTGTTTCTGCTGAGCTGCTTTTTCAATGACCTCTTTTCATAAGTCGTAGAAACTCAGTTTCCGAGTCTTTGCGCCGGGGTTTGTTGTCATTAATTAACCCAAAGTTTTTTTTTCTTCTGTAACAAAGATGCCTGCAGTTCCAGAACCGACCGGTGCAGAGCACGTTGGTCATCAAAAATACTGAAATAACATTCTTTGAATACCTTGTGCGAATGAAAGCAAGGATGGATTTTGGCCAAAGCTACTGATGCTAATAGAGAGTTTTAGAAGCAGCAGCGGATATGCTAAGGAATAAGTAAATATGGTTACGATTCAATAACTGTGATTTATATATAGTAGGATCTGGCATTTGTTTCATCCATATGTGTATTTGAAAGGAATATACAGACGAGGGCTTTGCTGTTTTACTAAGCGCCTTCACATCTGGATCTGATGAGTTCCATTGTGCCGTCTGCTAAGCCCTCCAGAAACCCAGAAGAAATGTTTTCCAGATGTTTTCTTCCCATTCTTGGTAGAAAAAAAGGGTACCAGGAAAAAAAATATATTCTGTTGCATTTCAAATAGAAAATACACCATTCTGTGCTGGTATTTTAGAGGACATTCCTAATCGAATACGGTCAATCATCTGCAGCCTTTTCGCTGTGTTCTAATAGCGGCATTTCATCCAACATTAAAAGGTTACTTTTGCAACTGTATAAAAGAGTTAGGTTTGGAAAACAGCTGGCCTGCAGCTGTTTTATCATAACTCCCTTCTTCTAAAGAAATTCATATGGATAAGTAAATAATGTGTTGCTGTCACTGTGTGAAGTTATTCATGAGGCAAATTAAAAAAGGCTGCATAGGTGATTGAATCCATGCAAAATGGAACACGTTGCATAACTTCTCATGTGGTTTTAAAAAAAAAAATGTCTGGAGGATTCCGCGGAATTAAGGTCATTCTTTTTGAATGTCATTCTGGAACTAATGGAGAACATACAGTTGCACGCATGTGTTTGTCGAAAACACAGCTGTGCCTCAGAACTATTACCTGTCTGCATGGCAGCCGTGCCGCTCGAGACACTGACGTCACTCGCTCCCATCAGCAATCATGTAAACGTACTTGCAGTTCTCCGCGGAGTCTCAGTACGCCGTTAATTAACTCGACCTTAAGTGGCGATCCTGAGGTCACGTCCTACTCGATCAGATAAGTGGCGGTGAGAAAAAGTGGCTTCTTGTGTGCGCCCACTGCCATGGCGCTGAGGACGGAATCTGAGTTGGCTGGACTGAGGAGAAAGCCAGTGACCCTGCGACTGCATGAGTCACTTCAATCTGTAAATGCAGGCTTTGAGGGAAGGACTGTAAATCAGCTCGCATGCCTGATAAAAAACACGGGAGATAAAACATAATATGCAGGGCAAGTTCCTAACCCTGTGTCAGAGTTAAGGAGATCCTTTGTGCTGCACAAACAGTGCATTATTTGCCGTATCCTGGGCTGTGTATCATCTTTTACTTTCCAGGCCAATTAAGGGTCAAATAATTGCTCAATGGTCCCGTGTGCCCACGACACAGCGTGCTTGATTTAAAGCCAGATACAGATGTTTTTTCTCTTTAGGTGCTGCCTGCACAAAGCTAGAAAACTGCTGGAAAAACACGAGCAAAAGATGGATCATTCGTTCCCCGACAGAGAGAAGGGGAACAAAATGGAGTTTAGTCAACACCAACTAGTGTAACCGTTACTAGTGTAAACTAACTGGTTTGAAACACTTCAGTGCAAAAGTTGGATCTGCTACTTCATGATGCAACTCCCACTCATTTTTACCAGCATGCTTTGTTGCAGCTGGGAAACAGTGCTTTTCTCTGTAGTGGGGTATTATCCTCATTGAGCATGAAAGCCAATGCATGACTCATTCTTTTACAACCCATTCACCCCCACCCCCTCGCCCCCACCCAGCCCAAACTCAGCCGCAGCCTAAGCAGGAATACTGAGAGTAAGCATTTCTTTCCCTACTTTGGGAAATACAATAGTTTGTGGTCACTCCAGAAACCTCCGTTTTCTCAGATGTTTTCTATTTTTACTTTACAGGGGGAGGAAATGAGCATCGAGTCCTCCGGTTCGTGATTATTCAGCAGTACTTTGTAATTAATTAGTTTGATTTTCACCGCAGACACCAGCTCGCGCTGACAGCAACGCTGCTGTTGCTTACAAATGAGTCACGTCGTCCCAATTTGCAACAGTAAATTGGTTTAGTCCAAAATGCGATGCTATCTGGATTGAGTTTTCGGTCAACAGAATGAACACTGTGAATGAATGTCTCTGAAAATGGACATTTCAGTAGAACATATTTTTGTGGACCACAATACCCGATCTAGTTAAACAATCATATCAATTCAAGCACCACTGAACATGAAGGTCTCATATTGTAGAAAGCGACATTCAGCTTAGTGAGAAATAACTAAAAACATTGAAGCATGTTAACACGTTCCAGTTGGAATCCACATATTGTTTCACCGTCACAAATAGAACAAATTTTTACATTTGTGTCTTTCCGCACCA